TTTCTTAACTCGCAACTCGACTTTTGTAACTCGCAACTCGACTTTTGTAACTCGCAACTCGACTTTCGTAACTCGCAACTCAACTTTCTTAACTCGCAACTCGACTTTGGTAACTCGCAACTCGACTTTCGTATTTGTAACTCGCAACTCGACTTTCGTAACTCGCAACTCGACTTTCTTAACTCGCAACTCGACTTTCGTAACTCGCAACTCGATACTCGCAACTCGATACTCGCAACTCGATACTCGCAACTCGCAACTCGATACTCGACAACAAGTGAATCTCGATCTTTGTTTTGAACACTTCAGTGACCTTACCACGAAGTTGTCTTAGTTACGGTTTTATCCAGGTTGGACTAAAAACCGATAAGGACTAAATTAGTAAATAGCAACCAGGTGTTATATAAAACCTTATCGATATTTAGTTTAACCCGGAAAAAATACATTACAAACAAAATTGAACTTGAAGTGAAGAGTCAGTAAGTTGTGTAAAGAGAGATAACTCAATTTTGATCTTAAAAATAAAAATAAAAAGACACCCGAAAAGACAACGCCATGGCAATAAACGAAAAACGACGAAAAGACGAACACATCCATAAAACACTTTCGAGACGTTTTGGTCACATGTCGTTTCGGCCATTGTATTTAATATAATGGATGGATTTTTAAAATAATTTGCCAAAATGTAGTCAATAGTCAGGTCAAGTCAGGAGCCTGTAATATTAAGTGGTTGTCGTTGCTGCAGTGTATCATATTTGTTTATTGTTCATTATTTTGTACATAAATCAGGCCGTTAGTTTTCTCATTTGAATTGTTTTACATTTGTCATTACGGGGCCTTTTATAGCTGACTATGCGGTATGGGTTTTACTAATTGTTGAAGGCCGCACGGTGACCTATAGTTGTTAATTTCTGCGTCATTTTGGTCTCTAGTGGAGAGTTGTCTCATTGGCAATCATACCACATCTTGTTTTTATATATCTGTAACAAAAATATGGGTCACAGATCGTTTTTTCTAGTTACAGGTTGTGATAAATTGTCAAATTTTGCTAGTATAGTTTTTATAAATGGAATAAAATGCTCCGCAGGGCATAGCTTGGAACGACCACAGAGGTCGAATCCTGAACAGTTGGTGCAAGTATGGACACAGCTCATGTCAATAGATATAAACAATTCACCAAAGTTTTATGCAAATTGGTTAAAGAGGTTTTGAGTTAATGTCCGATATGTTGACGACGGACGGACAGACGGACAACGGTATACCATAATACGTCCCGTAAACGGGCGTATAAAAATTGGACATTTACCTATTAATTTACCTATTATGGTCTAATATCCAAAATCTAAATACATGGTTAAATTCAGCATATCTACGAACCTCAAGAATTCAATTTTTTATGAAATCAAACAAAGTTTCATTTGGGACCCCGATTTGGACTTATTTGAAAACTGAGCCCAAAATCAAAAATCTCAATACATAGTTTGATTCAGCATATCAAAGAACCCCAAAAATTCAATTTTTGTAAAAATCAAAATTAGTTTAATTTTGGACCTTTTGTACCTCAATTTGGACCAGTCCAAAATCTAATTTGAAACACGGTTAGATTCAGCATATCAAAGAAGGGCGTAGCTTGGAACGACCGCAGAGGTCGAATCCTGAACAGTTGGTGCAAGTATGGACACAGCATTCAAGTTTGATACAGCTCTGATTTTGGAGTGTGATTTAATATTTGACACAGCATAGGTTCTGACACAGAATTTTAATAATAAACTGCTTCGCTGAGCGCAGCTGGATACGCCCGCAGAGGTCCAACCCTGAATAGTTGTGGCAAAAATGGACACAATATTCAAGCTTGATACAGGTCTGAATTTGGATTATAATTAAATATTTTGACATATTATAGGTTTCTGAATAAATGTAGTCAAAGAACTTGAAATTGGTTATATGAATTGAATTTATATTCAATTAAAGATTTCTTGCTGTTGTGCAATACACTGTGCTGTTGCACAATACTCAGTAAATCTGTTGTCAGACTATAAACAAATAAAGTTCAATTAATTCTCAATGTTATATTAGAAATTTATGAAAGTGTAAAGGGAGCTTACATCAATTGATATAAACAATTCACCAAAGTTTCATGAGAATTGCTGACAGCATTTTTGAGTTATTGTCTGAAAACTGGAAAATCCCCCCTTTTTTATGAATAAAACCCAATAACTCAGAAATGATAGATGAAAAATTTATAAAATTCTAAACGGAGCTTACATCAATAGATATAAACAATTTACCAAAGTTTCATAAGAACTGCTGAAGTTATTGTCCGAAAACTGGAAAATCCCTCCTTTTTTAATGAATAAAACCCCATAACTCAGAAATGATAAATGAAAAATTTATAAAATTCTAAACGGAGCTTATAAACAATTCACCAAAGTTTCATAAGAACTGCTGTAAGCATTTTTTATTTTTTTGTCCGAAAACTTAAAAATCCCCCCTTTTTTATGAATAAAACCCTGTAACTCGGAAACGTAAAATCTAAAATATATAAAAATCGAAAGGGAGCTCATGTGAATAGATATAAACAATTCACCACAATTTCTTGCAAGTTGGTGAAAGCATTCTTGAGTTATTGTCCGAAAACTGGAAAAAAAAACCTTTTTTTAATGAATAAAACCCCATAACTCGGAAACGTAAAATCTAAATTTTAAGAATTTAAGACTTTGAATTGAACCCCGTTGAAATTGGTCAAGAAATACGCAGTTTATATTAACTAGGCAGTGTCAGAGAGGACCCCGAATTCAGGGACGAGTAGCCAAATTGCCATTCGTAGGCCAATCGGAACTACTCGGCCTTTCTGGTTGCACGAAGACATAAGTTATTGTATAACTCGAATAATTCAATCCCTCTCCGTGTCCGATTTTCTTCCACGCGAGGGGTTAATGTAGCCATCGTAGATCAGCGGAATATAACGACTGAATTATTCGGGTTAGTTATTGTACTGCATAGCGAGAATGGCCGAGTAGTTACGATTGATTCGTAGGCTACAAGTACCCGCTTCCGGTTTATATTTGAATGTCATCGGATCGGGAATAAAACGTGAAAATAAACGCGGAAATTATCGCAATTAGTGAATGGATGATAAACGTCCCTGGTTAGTTTTCAAAATATTTTTCCTTTTAGTATTTACTATAATTATTGATATAATGGAATCTATGATAGAAAAATATAAATGATAATCAAATCAAAAAGCAGTACAAACAATTAAGTGAGAAAAATCAGAGACATATATACACATATGTGTGTATTTGTCTCTGGAAAAATAAAACAAAATAAAAACAGTTTAAGTTCTTCACTGAATAAATATATAAATAAAATAGACTATCTATACATATATATAACACATAATTAATTCAAATTAATTTATTCATCATACGTAACATTATTTAAGGTTTAAAAAAGTATTGTGTTGGCCCCTTATTCCTAATCAGTTAGGCCCAGTGGCGGATCCAGGGGGGTTCCGGGGGTTGGAACCCCCCTTTTTTTGACGATCAATGCATTTGAATGGGGACATATAGTTGGAACCCCCCCCCCCCCTTTTTATATGGCTGGATCTGCCCCTGAGGCCATAACCCCCAAAATCAATCACAACCTTCCTTTTTTATTATGGAACCTTGTGGAACAGTTTCTTCATAGAGATCCATACACTTATACACAAGTTATTGTCCTATAAAACAAGAAAAATGCTTGTTTTTGGACCCCTATTCCTAAACAGATACGGCAATAACCCCCAAAATCAATCACAACCTTCCTTTTGTGGTATGGAACCTTGTTGTACAATTCGTATAGATCCATTCACTTATACTCAAGTTATTGTCTGTAAACCAGAAAAAAACTAAAAAATTTTGCTCTGGATACCATACCTTATTTTGGTCATAAACAAGGTTTCGTTCAAATTTCATAAAATTCCATGTAGTAGGTTTGACAAAGTTATTGATGTCTAAAAAATACATTAACCACAGACTGAACCTAAATGTTGACGCCGCCGACGCCGACGACGGAATCTAGGATCGCTATGTCTCGCTTTTGCGAAATAATTTCGCAGGTTCGACAAAAATAGAAGTCACAGGACATGTTTGCTTGATACATAACACAATAGGTAATTCCTTTATAAAAGTAAGGTAATCTGAGTTATATGGCAAAATTGATAAAGATTGGATCATACACAAAATGTTTTGTATTTTTTTAAAAACAGTCAAAATTATTAAAACTGTATTTTAAATATTTTACAAAACGAAAATGAAAGACCTCTCAACTGTTCACGAACAATCGTCAGTTTAATTGTCATTATTTCTATTTCACATTGGAAACTCTATACCAAAGTTTACCGAGTAAATAGACGATTTTTGTTCCCTGTTGGTAATTTTCCTTTTTTGGGCGTTGGTGTCCTTTTTGGTACATCCATAAGGTGTGGATATTTTCCTACTAGTTCGCTATGGACTACTGCTACTCAGAGGGTGTTTTACGACCTTGACTACCCATGAGGACGTGTCTGTAGCGACGTTTAAGATTTGAACGTACACTATGTATAACTGCTAAATTATTATGTCATGGTTTAGTAACCACAAATTTGAAATTTTGGCTGTACCAGTAGAAATCTTAGTACAGACGGGATATTATCACATTCTAATTTTGATGATGTTGTTAAACCCGCTACACTTTTTTATGCGCATATGTTCCCTAATTCAGTGTTAATCGTTGGTTGCTGTCTGTAATATTTGAAATGTTTCCCATTTTTTCATATCGGAACGTTTTATAGCTTACTTTAAGTTATGCGGTTTACTCATTGTTGAGGCCGTACGGTGACCAATAGTTGTAACAGTTTCATCCCTGTCCTTTGGTCTCTGGTCGCCGGATAGTTGTCTCATTAGAAATCATACATGTAACATGGGATGGCCATCTCCTAATGTTATATTGGAAAGATTTGGACGAATTATTATAGAGAATTTAGATTTGTAAATAATGACTAATTTATTTGATTATACATGTATTTTAAAATCACTTTTTGCCATATAAAATGGCTTTATCTGATGGAACCGTCAATCATGTCAGTACTCCGTTGGTCAAATGTAAAAACAAATGCTGTTACTACTTTCGATCTATCTTCAGTCTCTCCTCATACGTCTTCAACTGAGCTCTGAATCCATCATTAGGACGGATGGCAGGTCGCTTTTCTTTTACTAAAGTGTAAGCCTGAGTCAAACTCATGTCATGGGTTTTCATGAGATAGCCAATGATTATCGTGGAACACCTAGAAACACCAGCGTTACAATGAACCAATACACATCCGTCTCTCACACCTTCATCGATGAACTCGAATGCTTGATCAAAATAGGGAAGAATTTGCACTTCTGGCAGATCATTCACTTTAATGTCTTTATATTTGATCTTGTCCGGGTATTTATTTTGCACATAAGAAGCTAGGTTCAGTATATGGGTAACTTTGAACTTTTCCAACGTTGATAAGTCATGGGCTACATCCTGGGATCCTACAAAAAATATAGGTTTACTATTGTTCTATAAGTATGATTAAGCATTATGTGTGTGGTTTTAATTAATCATCATGTCTTTTACTCAGTGTTGATAAGATTATCTCTAAATTAACAATATAACAATAAATAGATGTGCATGGTGTGATTGACAACAAGACGATTATTCACCAAAGACCAAGGATGTAAATAACTACTGGTTCACATAGTATCGTTTGCGCTTGGGGCATGCACCCCCTTGTACTTACTTTTCCCTTTTTATGAACTACTGGGCCAAATTTAACCAAACTTGGCCACAATCATCATTTGGGTATCTAGTTTTACAAATGTGTCCGATGACCCTGACTGCCAACCAATGTGACCGACATGGCTAATCAGAGTGCTTGTGAGCACTGAAGGGTAAAGATTGCATGATTTGCAGTGGAAACTAAAAATTAAACATTGCAATGTAATAAGAATTGGAAGGCATTGCTATGAATTGGAGTTGTATCAACTACAATTATGTATAAAGGAAGATAACTCAAATTTTAACAAGAAATTATTGTAACAGGATGCTGTTTTGAAGTCTCCAAAACAAATTCCCTACAAGTATAAACACATACGGACTCTCCCTTTTATTCATCCAATTCAATAGAATTTTTTTTAATGTTGTATAAATTGAAAAAAAAACTGTTCAAGGTCAGACAAGGTCATAATTGACCATTGACCTTTTGACCTGAATTAGGCAATATGTTCCCATGGTCATTACTGAAGACCCCATGTGTCTATCACTAACTGTTCTCATGTTATGATCATTTAAAAAATAAAAAGTCCAAAAATCTCATAGGGTTCTATATATATTCCCCTCCCTTCTGTTGGTCCCTCAAATTACCCATTTATAAACCCCAGTGCACAAACAAAACCCTGATGGCACCACTAGAAATGTTAGTCTAAAATATTGTGGGACCCTAAGTAAATCTGACAAGCGGTTTTGGAGAACTGCTGCGAACAAGTGAAGTTCAAATTTGAAAAAGCGGCGGAAGAAGAAGAAGATTTTAAAACAAATACTAGATTCATGCACCATGCACAATTTATGTAATTTTCTTGACAAGTATATATCGTTATACACATACACATCAAAAAGTGAGCTTAATTTGCAGCAATGTCAAAAGATCACTAAATTTGTCACGGAACTACCTTTTTCCCTGTTTCATAGATTGATTTTGCAAGTAGGGCCTATAAAGTTGCTAAATCACATCTATAATGATCAGTATTGAATACACAATTAGGTGACAATTATCAGTGATTCACTTAAAGACTTTGTTAATTTCCTATTCTAACCTTATTAAAAATGTAATAAAATTTATATATTTTTATAACCAATTTAAACCGTATAAGGTATTTGCATATAGCATCTATCAGTCTCTGTTGTCTCTTTGACACATTCCCCATTTCCACTCTCAAATTATCTGATCTAGCATACCATTGACGTCGCACAAAATTATGTAAGTCAAAAGTTTGGTAGTTTGGTCAATTAAGATTGAAAAGAAGAGGCGGAGCTTCAAATCAAACTCCACCTTTGTTGTTAATTGTTTGTTGATCCTGACAGATGTCAATGTTAATATTAGTATATCAGTACTCATACCCGGAATTACATTCGCCCAAACTAAAGAGCAAATTTGACAAAACTTCTGAATTATTCGAAAATGTATTGGATTATTACATGCATGTTTCCAGGGTGCAATTACCATGCATTTCAGTGGTAAGTCGTCCACCAAATCATATAACAAACTAATGACCTCACTAATTGTAGCTACATCTGATGCCTTAGAAAATAATTGAAATTCAAATCTTTTAAAAAACAACCAGAGACATATAATACAACACAACTCTGAAACAACACAACACACAAATAAACAAATAACGTGTGACAAACAAACGGGTACAAGCTTTAAAACTTACCAATAATCAAATGATCAGATAAAATTTCTCCAACTTGTAAGTCATCTACTGTTGATGCCACAAACCCGTATGTTTTCCCTCCAACAAGCTCATGTGTTATCCGTCCATGAGAATCCCTTTTCTCGACTATCTGTAGTCCTGCAGTGGTTGTTATTTTTGTGTCTGTTTGTTTCAATTTTGTTTTGTCAAATGACTTAAGTGAATCAAGCAATGGGTTTGCCATCCTTCAACAGTAACACTCTAATGCAACAGTTTATAAATTCCCGGTTATAAGATTTCAAAAAGCAAGTCTGTACAATATCTGATTTAATCTAGATCTGGTTTAAACGGCTTTTAACATAATAATTACTATGTATCTAAATACATAGAGCTGACTGTGGTTAAACATTCCAGCATGATATTATAATAAGTCTACACAAACATTAAGCAATATTGACATTGTCACGTCTAAAAATAGCCGTTTTGAGTAACAATTCGGATTCATGTTTATCTTGACCGTGTTTGGCCAGGTTTTTGAATATTTGGTGGTTTTCCGGTTTATTTTCAACGTAGGACATCTGCAATATTTATAACTGTACGGTAAAGGAATTTACATGCATCATGCGTGGTACACAAATGATCAAATTTTTTCTTCTCACTATGTCGTGCTAATTTAAAATTTTAGCATTTCTTAATATAGCAATTCCTTGGATTGATCACATATGGTAACAAGCCACTTCGGCACCAAGACATTTCGGCACCTTTTCGGACATTTTCGATTTTGGTAGCAGTACCACAGGCACTTGTTTCTGTCAATGGGGAATTACTATCCACCTTGTGGTTTTTCGTACAAGTGTGGATAGTAAACCCCCCATTGACGGAAACAAATGCCTGTGGCTGTGAGCAGTACATTTCGGCACCAAGACGAATCTGCACCTCATCACTCTCTCTGGTGGGTCTCATTGGGGTCTAAGCGTGACCCGGGATTTCCATTTTTTGTAAGCATGACACGTGAAAGTCAAAATATTGTGCCGTGAAAACGGGAAATGAAGTCTAGCGAGACACGGGAAATTACAAAAAAAAATGAGAATTGCTTACGTACATAGTGTAAGCGGGATACAGGAGTCTGACAAAACAGTAAGCGGGATCCGGGATCAGAACATCCAATGAGACCCCCTCTCTGTATTTTCCTGTTTCCTGGATGAGTGCAAGTTCCTGACATTTGGGGATTTCCACTGTATTTGTGACGTCATGCAAAAGTATTTATCATCGCCAACGTCCTACAAAATGTACTTCAATAAAACTTAACTGAATATTTTTCATTGCATTTTCACTAATATCGGCTTGAATAAGAGAAGTTGTGTATGTTCTAGCATATTATTTATTTAAACATCTATTTCCACTTCTACTTATTTATTCCTCTCCTACAATTTCATTGAATTCTTGGGAAAATCCTTTCAGCAATGTTATTGACATCTCAAAAATGAGTCACCATCAATTTTTAGGTTATGTGGCCTCTTTTTCCTTTTTTTAAGGCCAAGAGTATTATTTTTTAAAGTCTGTATGTAAGCGGAATTTTTAAGATCAGAAAATTATTTGATCTATTTTGATAAAACAAAACCTGCCGAATATTGGCTCCTAAAAGTAATTTAATCCTATGCCATTGAATGCAAATTGTTTTGTCATAATTGTTTGTAGTTAGGGATTAATCAATATTTTATGTAAGTTTATAATAGTAAAAAATAATATTTTATTATTATGTCACATGACATATTGATTGACATACATTAGACATTAGACATTTTAGACATTTAATATTTTATCAGTTACCAATCATAGACCCCTGTCAGGCAAGATACACAAACATCATAATACAATATAATTATTATAAAACATGTAAGTTGTTAGTGAAAATACACAAAGAAATAAAGTAAAATTTGAGCAATATAGGTTATTATTACAGTATGAAGCATTTAGGAGGGTAGGAATGCCCTTTACCGTCAATTGTCAAATGGTAATTTTTTGGCTACCGTTAGCGTCAAATTGGATAAAATTTTACCGTGATTTGTCAAAATATTCTTATCGTGATTCATCAGAGGTCTCAAATAATTATCGTTACCGTTATTTTTGGAAAAAATTTAACGTGATTTTTTATAGTCAAAAAGAAAGTGTACATTTTATTGTCATGCACCCAAAATTACAGTTATTCGTCATGTAAGTACCCCAATTACCACCCTCATTTAGTGTAATGAGGTCAATTTTATAAATAAAAGAAAGAGAAAAAAAATGTATTAACAGGAAATAATAGAACCAGGAATATAGTTTCTCATGTTGTAGTAGTTCTCATGACCTGTGTACAGCAGCGAGGAAGTTTACATCACCACGATGCAAAGGTCATCAAAGGAAGGTCATTCAGAACCAGCTACAGATATATATATATTATGAGATTATCTATATTATACAATAAAATTAAAACATACATAGAACAATCAATACACAGCCATATCAATTTGGCTAATGAGACACATGGTACAAAATATATACATATTCTTAAAAAAATTCAACGATACTTTGAAATAATTTGAAATTCTATTTTTAAAACAAATAACTATGATTTAAGAGTATTTTGAACATGAATAAAAAGAAAGAAAAAATAAATAATATTTTGTAAAATATATTTACTTTACATTTATTTAAAACTGCAGACATATGTGAAAATATTAACGTTAAGATATCACAATAAACTAATTTAATAAATGTGAATAAACAAAATTAATTAAAATAATTTATTCATGGTTAAAAATTTATGTAAACAATCTACGTCACAAAAAAAACGTATAAATACTTTTACATAAAAATGGCTGAATTTTGAAGCAGTTCATGATTTGAATAAATTTTAAATCAGCTTTCAAAATTTTCGAAACTATTAAAAGGTTGTGAACATTCTGAGTAGAGGTCAAATTTAAGTCATTATATAAAGAACAGTTCAGTAAAAAATGATTCTCAGTTTCAACACAATTGTCAGAACAATAATTACACAATCGATCTTCAACAAGTATTGGCGGCCTGGTGTACATGTATCTGCCCGTCTCAATAGCTAACAAGAGCACGAAACAGGGCCATTACAAGTCGATACGACCGTGGAATAATTTTTGAAAAGTATGGTTCCATGGAACAGTTGTTTTTACTTTTTATAATGAGTTTTTTAACAAAATTTTATATAAATTTCCCAATAAATATCAAAAGTGTACAGCTTGTGTTTGCAGCTTAGGTTATTGTTTGAACCCCCAATTCTAAATGACAACAAACTAACAAAATACCTGTACACTATATTTTATTATTTTGAAATTACAAGCTTTAACTTAAAGTGCTTGCAAGCCATATTGAGTAAAAGCCCAGAACATCATAGAATTGTCAACACTTTTAGAATTGCCAGACGAATATAAGAACTTAAGATATAATAGTAATATTTACATGATGACAATTTTTGTCTTGCCTTGACGGAGTCAAAAAGCGAGACATAGGTATGCTGTTTCCGGCGGCGTCAACAATGTATTAGTTTGTGATTAGGTCTAGTTCATGGTGAACCACTAGTGGTAGGTCAATGCTATTTGGTATGCAGTTGTATTAGCATTGGTACATCTCATTATCATGGAGATTATTTGGCCCCGCCCCCTGATTCAATGTCTATTGACTTTGAAACTTTTGCTAAGTTAACATGTATTAGTTTGTGATTAGGTCAGTTCAAGGGGAACCATTAGTGGTAGGCTAATGTTAATTGGTGTTCAGTTGTATAAGCATTAGCACATCTCATTTCCAAGGCGAATATTTGGTCTATTTTCTTTGAAACTTTTGCTTAGTTTACATGTATTAGTTTGTGATTAGATCAGCTTAAGATGAACTGCTAATGTTTAGTCAATGATATTTGGTATGCAAATTTATTGGCATTTGCAAGTATTGTTTCCATGGAGATTATATAGCCCCACCCCTGATCATGGTTCATTGACTTTGAGACTTTTACATAGTTTACAAGTTAATGTTTGTGTTTAGGTTTGTTTAAAGGGAACGACTTATAATAAGTCAATGGTATTTGGTATGCAGTTGTATTAGCATTGGCACATCTCATTTCATGGAGATTGTTTGGCCATGTACCTTCAGTCATGGTTCATCAACTTTGAATATTTGCATAACTTACATGTTAAAGTATTGCTATATTAATTTCAACATTTGCATTATCAAAATTACAAAATGGCGAGACATATCTCTGTGATAACAGTTTATTTTATATTTATTATAATGTAAATGTTCACGACAGAACGGATGAGTGCTCAAAAAAGAGAGAAAAAATACAAAGCATTTGCTTTTACTGACCCTGGGAATTATATTGTCACTGTATTATGTCCCAGACTAATAATAACACCAAATTTTCAAATAGAAGACATGTATTAAATCTTAAGAAAACCTAAATCAGTATCAGGCCACTGTGGCAACAGAAGTAGTTGTTAATAATAGGGTCTAAAAACTTAACAATGGAATATAAACATACATGTTTAACCCCACCACATTCTGTATGTGCCTGTCCCAAGTCAGGAGCCTGTAATTCAGTGGTTGTCGATTGTTGCTGTATATCATATTTGTTTTGGTTCATTATTTTGTACATAAATCAGGCCGTTAGTTTTCATGTTTGAATTGTTTTCATTTGTCATTTCAGGGCCTTTTATAGCTGACTATACGGTAGGGTTTTACTCATTGTTGAAGGCCTACAGTGACCTATAGTTGTAAATTTCTGTGTCATTTGGTCTCTTGTGGAGGGTTGTCTCATTGGCAATCATACCACATCTTCTTATTTTTATAGTAGCTTTATGTGGTGCCGATTTGTCTTGATTCCAAACTGTCTTTCAGGATGCTGAAATGTCTATCATGGATGTCAAATTGTCCATGTTGGATATGTCTCGGTGCCGAACTGTGTCTAGAATTCGACCAGATATGGGTCATTTTAAAAAAATGTTGAATTTTTAGTACACCTATGCTAATTTTTCTGTTTTTAAAGGAAAATGCAGTTGTAAGTGTTTAAATGAAAGTTTGTATGTTTTATGAGTCATAACATCAATATTGAACACAATTTAGATCTATTTTGGTAAGATTAAGATATATATATTTTATTAAAGTCTGATTTTTGTGTAATTTGTGTGCTTACACACAGTGTCAGTGTTACACATTTCAAAAGATTTTTTATGTTTTCTGATTGACTTTAAATCTGCAAAATGAACTATTTTTTAACTTTAATGATAACTCTAACAAAAAAAATCACAGACTCAGTTTATTTTTTATTGTATGTGACATCTTTTCTTAAAACTAAATTCAATCTGTATACATGAAATACATAAAATAGAGAGTGGAAATGGGGAATGTGTCAAAGAGACAACAACCCGACCAAAGATAAAAAACACAGCCGAAGGCCACCAATGGGTCTTCAACACAGTGAGAATATCCCGCACCCAGAGGCGGACTTCAGCTGTCTATCCTGTTACTGCTACTAGATCAACCATTCAATTGTTTCTCCCTATGAATATGGAACTATTTAGTCATGTAAGTGATGATTTCAAATGCATTAAACATTCTTAAAATTGAACACAGCACATTTCTAGTATATCAGTGTAGAGAAAAGAAAATTCAGGACATTTAGTGAAACAAATAAGTGCATACCCTTTTATCCTGTCTTTGCTGTTACCAATAAAAAAAATCAATTACAATATTATTACAATATTATTATAAAAGTTCGATTACATGTTGGAAACCAAGACCACAGAAGAAAAAAGGTTATCACTGTGTGACAGGATTGCTTCCCTTCATTAGTAGATACTTAGTCAGCCGTAAGCGGTTGAACTAAAGAAGTACTTCTTTAGCTCAGTCGGTTAACGCGCTGCCTTGTAACACAGAGGTCCAGGGTTCGATTCCCGGTGGAGACGAGCAATTTTGTAAAGAAATTCATGCTCTCCGGTTACATTTGGCGCCCAACTAAAAAACCCATGGTAGTTAGAGAGGATTTCTAACTAGGGTATGTGTGTGAGAGTCATAATGGTATGATGACTCTTGAGGTGGGGGAAGTGTGACAGGATTGCTCCCCCTCATTAGTAGATACTTAGTCAGCCGTAAGCGGTTGAGCTAAGGAAGTACTTCTTTAGCTCAGTCGGTTAATGCGCTGCCTTGTAACACAGAGGTCCCGGGTTCGAGTCCTGGTGGAGACAAGCAATTTTGTAAAGAAATTCATGCTCTCCGGTTACAACTGCATACAAGCAAGGGAGTATTTATTTCACAACAGCATTCATAAATATAGACTTTGCCTATCCTGTTTCTATATATGATTACAGTAACAGAATAGACAATATTTGACTGAAATGTCTTCAAAAAGTATATAATTACATATATTTTTACACATAATGAAATGGCTGGTTATTTGAACTCATTTAAAGGTTACAAAGTTGTTATCTTTGCAGTTCAACACACACAAAATTCAATACTGCTATCAGCAACAGGATAGAACTTCATATGATGATATATCGTTAACATATGTTCCGCTGTTACCAAAAATAAAAATCACAAAAGTATTTAACAATATGTGAAGGAATTACTTAATGTTATGTTTATTAGAAAGAGAAAAAAATTATGAACATTAAGAATTGCTTTCTATAGACTAATGTTGCTGGTGGATATTTTTATAACCTTCGTAAACCTATTTTTAGAGGTATTTTTCTGTACACCATGGTTAATTGAACAATCTATCAACACTCAGAATGAAAATATAAAGAACTTTTGTTCTTGAAAACCACCTTATTGCCAATAAAAAAACAAGCTTTAAATTTTATCCAGAACTTTTCTAAATAGCCAAAAATTCCTTTTGAACATGGTAACAGGACAGATAAAATATTTTGCCACCTATCAAAAAATGTTTCTAAATATTCTTGTATGACATGAGTAAGATTGCATTTTTGTATATTTGTTCCAAAAATATTGTTTGTTTTGATTTGCTCACAAAGAGGGCTGCTTAAACTAGTAACTTTTATTCAATTTTGCAATTTCAAAATTCAACATTTTTTGAAAATAATCCATATATCTCATTCTGCTGCCTGTTTTAATATGGAAGCAAGACAACTCGCCCACAGACCATCTCCTTACTTTCTATCAACTCTCCCTACTAATGAAAAGGAGTTGAATGCAGCTGAATTTCTGCATGCCAACTTGCCCACTAAATAAAAGGAATCATATCCTGCTGAATTAAGACCTGCCAACTAGCCCCACTAATGAAAAGGAGTTAAATCCTGTTGAATAAAGACCTGCCAATTTTCCCTACCAATGAAAGAGAGTCAAATCCCTCTTACTTTAGGTCTACCAACTTGGCCCACTAGTGGGAAGGAGTCATATCCAGCTGATTAAAACCTGTCATCTTGCCCAACATGTGAAAAGGAGTCATATCATGTTGAATTAAGGTAGATGGGGAGGGGGGGGGGGGGGGGGGGTCTAAATTAAAATCCATAGAATTTTTTAATAATTTGTCAAAATGTAGTTTAAATTATACTTTTTTCAAAAATATAATAAAAAGTATGGGTCACCAGGCTTTTTTTCATGCTACAGGTTGTGCAAAATTGTCAGATTTTGTATAGATTATGCATGGAAAACCCAATTTTGTGTGATGAAAAGAAAACTACACCATAGAATTTTAAGATAAAATATGAGCAGATATCAATCATATTATTAGGGCTAAGAGAAAGAAAAAATGGGGTCACCGATTTAGTTTTCTTACTACATAATAAAATAGGTAAATTCACAACACATTCTAGTATAAAAGTTACTTTATATTCCACATAAGAAAATGCCTGTACCAAGTCAGGAATATGACAGTTGTTATCCATTCGTTTGATGTGTTTGAACTTTTGATTTTGCACAGTGGAAAAAAAAATGGGAAAAAAAATAGTCTGTAAAACACATAATTTTCTATATAAACATCAAAAGTCCTACACATGAATTACATATTACTCTCAAAATTTGCACATTTCATTAAAGATCTAGATTGATTGTTATCTGCTATTTCAAAATCCAAGATGGAGGAAGACACCCTAGCTAACTTAAGCAGCAGGATTAAACTCTTCATTGGTAGGTCTATAAATACAGTGGGATTAAATTCCTTTTATTAAGTGGTGTGAGTTTGCAGACTTATTTAGCAGGGTTTCATTATTTGTAGAAAGTTGGGGCAAGTTGTCATTTATAGATTAATATGAGTGTGGTGTTAACTGAAAGAGGACTAAGTTTACATCATTATTTTCATAATTCTTTTAAGTAATCAGGGTATCAATTTTGTGGGAATTTGTACGCTCAACAACATGGCAGTCTCCGTGAACAGGGGAACGTGCATTTGAATACAACTGTTGTAAAAAAGTTAACTATTTTGTATTTACATTTTTTACATTTACATTTAATCTTGGATGCAGCCAGTCACAAGTGCAATGGTGAACCAATGGAAATCATTACCAATTGGATCTGAAATACTGACAAGTACTTGATCTGCCGAGGGTGAAGAGGAGGGGCTAGATTGTAACCTTTGGCCATGAAGATGCAGTTTATTATGAGGCAGGTGCAACCTGATGGATTCCCTTAATCTATTGGTGCATGTTTGTTTTATTTATCATAATACTGTGTTGTAATCATACACAAATTGGGAGAAATCTTATGCATGTAAGCTATTTTTTACTTTTTGTTCATCCATGCACCTACCCAGTCTTTATGACCCTCATACAACACCTCCTAATTTAGCCTGTTCAAGTTCATGCTGGCCAGTAAATGATATTGATGATGATGGATGTCTGTTTAATGTCCAGCAGCAAATCAAAAGCATATTCAGGATGAGAACATGTTAATGTGATATGAATATTAACCCTGCTTTGTACTAGATCATCACGCTAAGCTGGATTTTTAAAGTGCTAAATCAGAAGGTAACTGTCCACATGAAGACATGTCAACCTACACAGCCACATTACTCAGACTCTGAGTCTACCAGTCTTTACTCTTACTGCTTAACACAGCATGCTTAGTGGAGAAGGAGCAAACACAAATTTTAAAGTTTTTGGTTTGACCCGGCTGGGGTTTGAATCCCATTACCTCTTGCACTAGAATTGATGATCCTATCTCAAGACCTCTGAGGCAGTCAATGATATTGAAAAATTATCTTAGTTTCCATTTTTTCTACAAACACATAAAAAAAAACCAAGCCACCCTTCATTACTTATCTTTACAGACATACAGTTTTATGATTTAAATATAAAGGATATTATAACATATATAATAATAAATGTACATTAATTTTATATTTATCGAAAATATTATGCTATTAGAATAAAGCATGAGAAACATAGAATTGGATTAAATTGTACAAAATACTTTTTCATAATTATATGTAACTAAAATGTGAAAAATGGTATATATGGTATTTCTATGGACCACATTCTCTTTGAGAAATATGGTTGATGACACCAAATACCATCAGACATGGTCACTTTATTACGCAAAATTAATATATGTCTGTTCCCTTCCTCTAGTCATAAAAAAAGGGTTGGTCATTCAGATTTTTTTGGACTTTAAAACTCCCAAGTCTGACCTGTTTTACACATCTACCAGTAACTTGTGCATGGTAAATCTAATTACAAATTTGACTGAATATTGCATAGGAAAAAAAAAAGAATTTTTCAATATTTCTTTGATAATTTGTTTTTTCAAGAAATTTCTAACCAATATTTCAATATTTTTTAAATCAATGACAATGATTGGGATTTTAAAAAAAAAACTGATCTTTTAAGCATCAGAGTTGAATTGCAGGGTAAAACAACATCTAAAATATAGGATTTATTTGTTCTTGTTAGGAAACAGGGCTATATAAAGTATTCATTCTTTTTGTTTGTTTGTTTGTATGTATTTTCATTCATCTGCACATTATATACACTCTTCTTCTTAAACCAAGGGACACTAGTCTCTGACCAGCATGATACATGTACATTTCTGAATACGTACGTCCTGAAATTGGTATCTGTTCTCGAACTTTAGTTTGCCTCAACCAAATGTTATGACTGTTATGAAACTTATACTCAATGCTTATATATATAACCACAAAACACAGACCAAATTTGTACAATGTGATTTTGTCATATTTTGTTTACATTTATTTATGTATTGTTTGTTTAGTTACAATGTAAATAAAAATTATGTAATCTGAACAACTGATAAAACATGGATGTTTCATTTTTGGACATAAAAGGTCATTTGAACTTTCTAATTTTAGCTAGGTCTATAGAATAGGGATAAAGTTGAACTGAATCATCCATGAAAGTCAACCTTAATATCTATACATTTTTTAAATCTCCGTTGAAATTCAGGTGAGCGAGGCATGCTTGATATTCTTTTACCAAATTACATTTTCTAAGGTTATCCTGTTTTAATTCAGTACATTTGTACTTTAATTCCAGTTATCTGGCTTGACAGTGAGCTGAATAGATAAAGTGCTGGTACATGTCATCACTTAGTATGAGATAGACTATCATAACGAAATAATGTTAGTGTGCACCAATATTCTTGCACATGGTAAGTTGTATTTAATTTTATGAAAAACTGTTTAAAAAATATCAGGAGCAATCTGTTTCAATAGCTGTTTCTAAATAAATGGAAAATTGACTTGATCGATTGCACGAACATCAGTTAAGTATGTTAGTTATTAGTTTTTGTGTAATATTTTATTAGTGTGATGTGTAATCTTAGAGCTTAATAGTGAGTTACTTATGATATTATTTACATTTGAAATAAATTGTAATTGAAATACCTTCACTGATTTACAATTACCATAAACTTAAAAGTCATATATGAGACGAGTTTCTTGTAATTATAATGTTATCGAAATGATTTAAACCAATGAATGCATATATAACTAAACTAAGTCCTGTATGCACGTTTTTTACATTTATCATGTTTAATAAGAACCTACAACTTATAAGTCGACCAATAATATTTCATTCAGTGATTGTTGATCGCACGCTAATTAACTTTCAAGTTTGTTGCCAAAGTTTACTGGATTGTGAAATTGATAAACAATCAACACAGAGCATGTTGAGTATGTGAAAAATAAATAAATTGATAGAGCCATGATGTTTTCCATGCATTCCCATTTGTTAAATACACTTTTCCTTAACAGTTGTTAAATGATTTGGTGTATATAATTTGTTCTTTGAGAATCAGTTATTACTATTTACCTTCAAGTGTACATTAGTTTACATATAATTATCACAGTTTTCCCTAGCATTTGCGCTGTGTGATGGCCGAAGTTCTAAAGAGAGGTCTGGTAGTTAAGGTCACTGCATATGGGGAAATATTGGTGAATTAAGAGTATGGGAAGACAATAATTAAATAGCAGTACATTTATGAATTTTTTTATTATGTAAAGGATTTTCTTTTACAATAAAGTCCACATGCACTTGTTTTATAGTAAAACTTAGACATTCAGTTTAAAAAAATATATTCATCTTTTTTTTTAAATTTGAAGTTTTATATGACTTTAACAGATTTTACTGTGGTTTTACTTTTTGAAATAGTTATTTCATATTTATTCAGAAGGGAAAAAAATTAAAGAATATTAATTGTCTCAGAAAATATAATGGACCATTAGGAAATGAGCAGCAGATTTTTACCACTCCTAAATGAGAGCCTTTTCTATATGATTATAAATTATGATATGTACTAGGCCATATTATATATATAATCTCTGACATAAGGAGATGTTGGAAGGGTACTTGCATGGAAAGAGACTATATAGTAATCCCATATCCTGCTATTCCTAATATATTACACTATCCCAACTGGGGCAGATCCAGGATTTTTTATTAAGGGGTGGGGGGGGGGCATAATTACCAATAATTAATACAAAAAATGTATAATATTGTGAAAAAACATGATTTTTTATATATTTTGGCAATCACCACCCTCTTGATCTGCCACTGCCAACATAAGTCTCATATTCTTTATTTTATTACCATCTGCTGATCAATTTGTCTTGCATTTCATTATAGACTAGCATGAATATATATATATATATATATATATTTTTTTTGTCTTTTTTTTCAGGATTTAAAAACAAGGAGGTTATTTTACAACTAAAGAATTTCATCTTTCCATAAGAAGAAAGTATTTCATATGTTTTCCTGCACTGAACAAAATGGGATAGCCAATTCGTAATGTGTTCACTTGGTTAAATGTAATACTTCAATTTTATATTGAAGTGCTGTGTTTATTGTTGTACTAAACACTTCTTGTTATTATTTGTTATTTGGTTAATTATGAATACTAATAAACAATATATACTCTGTTATATGTTATTTTTTTGTTAGAACTCTAAAATTCACTCACTATTAACATTCAGGTTGTTATTTTATGTGGTCTATGCGGTCAATACTCTTGTTAATTCATGTTTTACCTTAACACAATACAATGTATTGTATGTCTCTGGTCATATCAAAAGGTATAGTGACTTCTTGATATATTAATTGTTACTTATGTTGTTAAGATTTGATATTTATGAAGTGCTTCCATTGTTAATATCAAGTTATAGTGACTTCTAGTCTAGGTGCTCTGCAATTATTTCTACATAATTATTTTTGCCAAATAATTTACATATGATAACATTTGGTTCATTTATAATCATGTTAATACTTTGTGCTAAAACATTAATGTATTAAGAAAAGTTGTTTGGTGGTAATTGTTAACCTTGGGGAAAGTTTTATTCTGTCCATGTTTATTCAGAAACTTTTTTGAGTGAAGTATTGAATTATTTATCAATAATTACATATTAAAGTGTTCATTTTTTGTTTTGCCTTTGACATTATGACTAGTGGAAGCAAGACTTAGGCCTGCTGTTTCTGGTGTTAGTGGTATCAGTTGTTAAAGGTAGTGATTAGCTTACAGGACATATCTATATATGTGTTCATATTTTATTAAATATGAATTAGTTGTTAATACTCATTTACAATAATACTATATGTAATTATTAAATGTATATAGAAGTACATTGAATACTTGTTAATTGTATTTTAATGGAGGTCTTTATCTAGTCAAAAAACTTTTTTTTACTGATTTCAGTCATTTCTTTATACAGTTTGAGGAAATTGACTATATTAATGTTATAAACAATAGTTGTGATTTATTGTACTCATACATTTTGTTGTTGTTGTAATTTGTTTGTAGGAGGATATTATTGTTTATTTTTTTCAAAAATTTTACATTATCAGCATTAAATTGACAACAATTAATTGAATTCTTAAAAGTCGTCAACATAATTAGCATTAGTAATAAAACGTCAATTACAATAATGCATTAATTCATTGTTTTCACTTTAAATTATTGTTAATTTAAAAAAAAAATTGAATTTAAGAGGATTTACAGCTTAAAAATTATATATTGTAACAAGATCTAGTCTTAGTCTGCCTATTGGACCATGTATACCTTTTAGGGTAATTACTTGACAATTTATTTATTAAATGTTACAAGAACTAGTCAGTTGACAATTATTATTGTTGTTATTTAAATATAATACTGAGTTAATTTATTTGTTTTTGTGTGTGTATTTATCTTAGTTTTCAATGTATGAGTATTTTTATTACTGGTCATTAATATTGTAACCTTTTTTTACAGTTAACCTTTTGATGTAAATGGGGTTTACTTTTTACATGTAATTTGTTTTGTAAAGTGAGTCTTTAACACAACAATGATTTATATCATGTAAGATAGAAGTTTTACTCAGTCTTGACTTTATCATACTTATTTAGACTGGTTTCAGTATTTATAGCAATTATAGGAACTGTAACTTAACCTTAAATGATGTTTGGTTTATGTACACCATGGTCAAGGTTTCCAATTAATCCAAAGCAGTTCAATTTTAGACTTTCTGTCATGCTTTTCACAATGTTATTTTTCCTTTTCTTCATCAATTATGTAAATGAACTGCCATCAATATTATCTTTACCACAAGAAACTGAATCAATGAGAACACTGTATAAGGACTGTATAGTACATAAAGAAGAAGTCATGGGACATATCACTTTTACTGTTTTCACTTCATTTGATTATATTGAATCAAAGTTCATAGCAAATCAAAATGCTTTAAAGAACTGGAAGGCTATCGAAGGTGTCAAAAACTTTGTTCTTTTTACAAACTGTAGTAGAGCACGTAAACTTGGTAAATCAATGAATTTTGTAGTACTACCAGTTATGGATTCAGCAATCGAGGGAGTTCCTGTCTTAAAATCAATGTACTTGAAGGTTTTAGCCTTGTACCCTACATCATATATAATGTTTTCTAATGCTGATATAATGTATGAAATTGATTTGATGGAAACAGTCAGATTTGTGAACAGTTTTGTACAGGATGAAGGATTAGCAAGGAAACCTGTACTAATTGTTGGAAAGCGAACAAACTTGGACATTGACAGTGGCAAAAATGAATCATGGAAAAGTCTGATTAAAAAATCTGCTACATTAGGAACAAAGTTTAATGCTGATGCACTGGATTATTTCATCGTTGATAGAAAGTTTCCTTGGAAGGCATTTCCGAAGTTGGTAATTGGACGTGTTGGTTATGACAACTGGATTGTAGCATTTTCTCGTTATAAGAACTTCACAGTAGTAGATGCGACAGGTTCGATATTGGCAGTACATCAAACTATCAATGGTGCAAACTTTGAAGGATTCTCACACCATCATTTCTCATACAACCGTGACTTAATAGCAGAATCACTGCCTTCATATCAGTATGCATTATGGGGTAGGACAGAATGTTGTTACTTAGCAACTGGCCATGACAGTTGTGGTCAGCTGTATGTCAAAAACAGAACTTTAGTGCCACCATATTGTTTTCATCATAACTTTCTACATGATATTAAAAAGCTTTTCAAGACACTGTTCGGGTTAGGATGTACATGATGTTTAATTAGGCTTTTCAGCACAATTCATAATTAGTTAATTTATTAAATGTCCGTCACCAACAGGTTGTCCCTTATATACAAACTATATTTTTTCATATAGTTTGGTGCAAAATCAATTTTCATCACAATCGTATCTAGTGTTTATTATTTTTACTGATTTCAGGTATTTATTTATACAGTTTTAGGGAATTGACTATATTGATTAATATATTATTTAAACAATTGTTGTGATATTTTGTACCCATACATATCTGTTCATACATTTTTATGTTTTGATTGATTTTGCTTGTTTTAATTTATTTTGCTTGTTGATGTAATCAATAGAGGGCAGTTTTGTTTATTCTTTTTATAAATACATATAGTTGATATGTTACCTTGATTGGGTAGTTGTTAATTTAGTTAATTATTTATTACTTTACATACCATTATATAATAATAGATGTTCTCTTTTAGGAGTGATGTATTTACTGCAATAAGCAATCTTGTTATTTGAAATTGAATTCTGTCTTGTTAAATGAATTGAGATTACTTGTTTGTGTCTTTTGTTAACTTAATTTAGAGATTATTTTTTGTTTCTTTTGTTAACTGAATTTTGAGATAATTTTTTGTTTCTTTTGTTAACTAAAATTTTGATAACTTTTTAACTGAAATTTAAAAAAAAAAATAATACTCAATATACCATTTGCCAGATAGCTTTCTGACATGGTAGGATTATTTATCATCATATTCTTTTCACTCACCAAACTATACAGTCATATTGATTTGACAACTTTTGCAATAGAAATGGTACTTTAACCATTTTTTTTTATTATTATTACATAATGACATCTTTTAAATGCAACTTCTTTGAGACTTTTTGACAAAAAGATTTCATACTTACACATACATAGGATTGTTTATCAGTATGTTTTGGTTGACCATACTCTGTTGTCATTTTGATTTGACAATTTTGTAGGAGTATGGGGACTTTGACCATTTTTGTCCCTTGCTGCAATGCATTGTGGGGGATATAGAAAACCTGGTTTGAATCCTGTATCTGTTTGTCAGGTTTTGTAAGCACTCTCACAATTCATTTCTTGCCAGATTTTCATAAAACTTATATCAAATGTTTTAATCAGCAATGTCTTGGATGGAAAGGAAAATCATTGCTAATCAATTATTTTTAAAGAAGTAATGTCACTTAGAAATGTTACATTGCATTTTAAGTGCTCTCAAGCTTACCTTTCTAGTAAGATTTTTATGATATTCATACTGAAAGTTTATATCAGCTATGTCCTGGAAAAGTTCAGAAGTCAGTGCGGATCAACTATTTTTATAGGAATTATGTCACTTTGAATTATAATTAAAAAATAGCTTTGTCACCACTCTCAAACCTACATATCTTGGCCGATTTAGGAATTTGTATAAGCAAGGTCTTGGACGCGTTTGATAATCAGCACTTGTAAGCTATATTTCACAGTAATCCTTGGTAGTCAAAATTATAGGGCAAATTGTGTGGTTTATAGTGACTTCAAGGCAAGGTTTCTTAAGGATATCTATGAAAAAGTTTAAAAGAATCAAGAAAAAACTATATTGGAAGTATTGCCCTTGAACATAAAATATAAATATGGGTATCAGTGGTGGACATTAGAATGCTGTTCTTTTGTTACACTACATAATGACACCTTGTGTCCACAACTCTGAGACCATCTGACAGAAAGCTTTCATACTTGTTTGTAATCATGTGTAATTCACCATGCTATACCATTATTTTTATATGACAGTTTTTACGGGAGTTGTTGGACTTTCACCATTTTTAGCTCACCTGGCCCAAAGGATAAAGTGAGCTTTTCTCATCACTTTGCGTCTGTTGTCCGTTAACTTTTACTAAAATCTTCTCCTCTGAAACTACTAAGCTAAATTTAACCAAACTTTTCAACTATCATCATTTGGGTATCTAGTTTAAAAGTTGTGCAGATCAGCAAGACAAGATGTACAAAAAAATCCACATTGCCGAAATAATCCAAAAACTTATTGGAGTTAATGCCCTTTAATGATGATTTTTACCATTTTTGTCTTATATCTTAAAAATAATAAAAGATAGATGGAAACTTCTAAAGTCAAAATTAGCAGCAAGACAAGATCTACAAACAAGTCGACACTATTTTGGAGTTATTGCTCTTTAATGACAATTTTTAGAGATATTGCCTATCAAAGTAAAATCTTGAAAACTATAATGGATAGATAGACACTTAACATAGCAAAACTGATCAGCAAGACAAGATGTGTATTGTCTCTGATTTGACTATTCTTGCTTCAGTTACAGAAAGTACCTATAAATTCACTGAAAAAATTTCTAAATATGTTGTCTTCCCCTTTGTTATGTCTATTGAGTGGCTTTCACCTATATAAAAATTTGGTAGGCCCATGACTGTTACAAAAGAAAGGAGAAATAGAACTTTATTTTTAGTGATATTTTGAACAATGTTGTAGTGCTTACTTTGAATAAATGTGTATCCTGTTTTAACATTATGTTTATTGATGTATAGTTTATTGTCATGATAAACTGATACAATTCTTTGTCATCATTTAAGGTTGTATTCTGTATTCTGTGATTGGTGCTAAATTAAGGTTCAAGCAAATATGTATGTTATTTATATTTGAGATATATGCATTTGTTTTTTTATACAGCCAATCATTTTGTACCATTCTTCCTACCAAACAGATAACACCAGCTAAGTTAATTATTCCCATTTCATTAATGTAACATTGGCGTTGATACCATGGTACATGTCCTTTATTTTTTCATGATACTAATGAATTAGTTGATTTCTATAACATATTCTTTGGTAATTTACCTTAAGTTGTAAAGTAATTTGAATTTGAAAATAATAATCACTTTTTGTGATGGAGTTTTAAAGTTGATTTGTCTAAATAACTGTCTTTTCCAGATATATCAGCTACATATGGTTCTGTTTTTGCCATACATGCATTGCAAAAACATTAAAAGAATCCCTGAAATTCTAAGTTTAATAAAAATCAGGTAAGAGTAAAGATCGTTGATTTTTTTTAGCTTACCTGGCCCTTAAGTGAGCTTTTCTCATCACTTGGCGTCCGTCGTCGTCGTCCATTGTTGTTAACTTTTACAAAAATCTTCTTCTCTGAAACTACTGAGACAAATTTTACCAAACTTGGCCACAATCATCATTAGGGTATGTAGTTTAAAAATTGTGTCCGATGACCCCGCCTGCCAACCAACATGGACGACATGGCTAAAAATAGAACATAGGGGTAAAATGCAGTTTTTGGCTTTTATTTCTGAAACTAAAGCATTTAGAGCAAATCTGATTCGGGTAAAAATGTTTATCAGGTTAAGATCTATCTGCAGTGAAATTTGCAGACGAATCAGACAACCTGTTGTTGGGTTGCTGCTCCTGAATTGGTAATTTTAAGGAAATTCTGCAGTTTTTGGTTATTATCTTGAATATTATTATAGATAGAGATAAACTGTAAACAGCAATAATGTTCAGCAAAGTAACATCTACAAATAAGTCAACATGACAAAAATTGTCAATTGACCCCTTAAGGAGTTATTGTCCTTTAAAGTCATTTTCTGCATTTTTTAGGTGATTTTTGTAAACTTTTTCAAAAATCTTCTGCTTTTAATTTAACTTCTGGGCCAAATTAAACCAAACTTGGCCTCAATCATCATTAGTGTATCTTATACTATTTATTATGATTTTAACCCTATTAAACATGATTTCCAAAACCACAGTAGATGCAGGTGAGCGACACAGGCTCTTGAGAGCCTCTAGTTTATTTTAAGAACAGGTTCAAATCAATCATGTAGAAATTAAGCTTAACAATGAAAAATTGTTCATGCTTTATAGCAGTTCATTTGACTATATCAAATTCCTATATATATTTTTTTTTAAAGTGTCAGATTTTTGCAACAAAAATGATATCCATAAATCAAATGGTTAGCCCATACTTTGGATCACTATTATAACATTGAAAAAGTTTTTTTTTTTGGAAATGTGATATACAAATTGTTTTTAACACCAATTCAAAAAAATCACAATATTGACAAGAAAAAAATGTCCTTTGAACAATGCTACAGAATACAAAAAAATCTCCTTGAATGAATATTTTTATCTGTAAATTTATACCTGATTTTATTGATAAATATTACATAAAACTTGTAAGCTTAGACTTTAAGATCATTCCTATACAGAATTTGATGTATACCCCACATTTACTTTTATTCTGATCCTTTACCTAGCTGGTTATATCTGTTGACAGTTGGAAATTAGTACGGAGTTTGAGAACTGGAATAATTTCAGATGATTGCAATGGGATGTATGTTATTGTTCATTAAACTGGGTAATGATGTTAAAGTTGAATTTTGTTTGTTAATTATTGGCATATATATATATATAATACATATTTCAATTGCAATAGGGAACATATTTATACTACTAAAATAAGGAGGTCCAATTTGTTAGCAGGCATGACGTAAAAACGACAAATCAAATAATTCAACTTTATACATAACTAATATAGGACAATGGTGTTGATAAAAAATTACACCACTCCAGGCCCTTTTGTTTTCCATATGATTAATATTATCAATAATTAACAAGTTCCGGGTCGAATCCGATACCGATACCAAATAGTAAATGTATGTATGTTCTGTATCTCTCTCCTTTAATAGGACCACCACCATGGGTTATGGTGTAAAGGAGGACATTTAACAAACTGTATCGGTACAGATTTAATGTGAGCATTTGCCTACCCAGTTCCCCAGCCTGGCCATGACGGGTCTTACTACCAGAAAGTTAACCGTCCCCAAAACAATAAATACAATGCAATAAAACATACGAACACACAATCACCTGATTCACTCATCCTCAATATATAAAAAATGTAAAACATAGAGACAATTATATACAAAATAAGGGATAAGATCACCCTGGATGCCACACAAATGCCATGGCAACGAATGGGAAACGACATACTTGGATTCCAAAATATGCCACATGTAGTTTCCGGTTGTAGTAAGAAGACCAGGAAGAATTCACACAGAAAGATTTTGAAAGCAGAGAAAATTGTGCACCTTATAATCAGCATAAATTTATCTCTCAGATGCCTATACGAATACTACGAATACTAAAAATAAGGCGTAGGTACTTTAATTCAGTCATGGACGTGTTCTAGTTATAATATATAAAAATAAGGAGGTTTGGTATAATTGCCAATGAGATAACTATCCACCTGAGACCAAGGAAAGTATATGTAAACAGCTATAGGTCACCATACATCCTTCGACAGTGATCAAAACCCAAGCCATATATTACAAGCTTTTGACTTGGGACTGGTACATAAAGAATGTGGTAGGGTTAAACATGTTTCTGAGCTTTCAACCCTCCTGTTAACTTGGATAGTGGTGAAACAGCACAACTTATGAACAAACTGTAAAAATCAGCAAAAGTGCTTGACTCACCAGATCAACACCAAGCACAAAAAAACAACTAACAAAATTGACAAAAGACACAAAGAACCAATCTTAGAGTGATCACTGTTACTGAAAGCTAGTTTAAAACAAATAACAAATAAATATTGTTTTCCAAGACTGAAATATCAATCTGTACACATCCAATGGATTTAGTGTAAAGACATAATCAGTCCGAGAAAAGCATGACCTTGTGCAATGCCTAAATATAAGTATCGACATGATGAAGGACCATAAGTGTTCATAACTTGATAGTAATGTTGTAAAGCTGCAGCCAGTACATATTAAGTTATGTTTTGATTTGTTAACAACATCAATTCTGATATCAATAAATACAATATTCTAAGATTTTACTTGTGAGTGTTAAGTTAATAACCTCTAAGAATATTTGTATTTAAAGGATCAATAAATTTACATAGATAATTTCTAAATTTAAGGGCTTTACAAACAACATCATCCTTAAAAAAAATGGATGTGTTATCCTGTTTGTAATAAGGATTCTACAAATACAGCCAAACTTACAGATAAAATCTATGTATCAATGAAAGAATTTTGTAAAGATTTAAAGTAAATTATGGTAACAAAATCCCTGAATTAATAATTTACCAGTTATACATAGATTACTTTAACTGAAATCTAAAACATGACTTCAGACATGGGCAACGTACTGCTTGTTAGGATGCAATTAACAATTTCATATAAAATGTTTGGGGTTATTCCCAGAATGAAAATAGCTATGGACAGAATATATATATTGGACAAGTACCTCCATGACCTGCAGGTTACCCAGCCAAGTTTTTGTCAAGGGAGGCAAATATAGTTTCTGTATATATATGTATAGCATGGTTCTCCAGCAAGCATAGTGAACAAGTGGCAGTTAAAAATAGATTAAAATTTCACCAGAATTTTGGTTTTAGGGAAGCATCCATTAATTTGTGGCTCGGGAAGCATAGATTGGCCATACTATTTTTCTACTTTTTTGTATTTGATAGTAAGAAGTAGATGATCGTAGATGACTAAATTTCAATTTTTCTTGGGGTTGTTTTGGTAGGGGAAAATGAGAATAGTTTGTCTACTTGCCCTTTTTGGAGCAACCAATGAACCCTGAAGTGAATTTTTCAAAAGATTAGTTAAAACAATGATATTGATACAGTTTTTATTTATCATGCCTACAAAACCACCACTAAGATGTTACTTGAGCATAATCCCTTGTCGACGCCTACGCTCTATGTTTCCTGATCTTAATCTGGTTGAAATCAGGACGAATTTGTCAATTTTCTCAAAAATCTTTGGCCTATTTTGATCTATTTTGGATATAAAAATCAACGTTTTAAACTACAACTTGAACAACAATAGTTCTATTTAACTTTCTCACATGTCTTTTCATCAGCTTATAACATTTTTTATCTTTAAAAATTGAACTTCATAATCGAGGCCAAATATGGCACTTACCGAACTTTCTCTTTTATGGTAAGTTTCAGTGTTTTGATATGTCACTGGCTTGAAAGCTATATCTTCAAGACATCACCTCTACCTTTTAAAGTTCTAACAACAACGTACAGTGGTGAGGTGAACATATTCAGATCCTACCATATGCCCATATCATGAAATTTATTAACAATACATACTAAGTTATTCATATCACAAGAGTGTATAATCATACTTGTCTAGAAAAATGTTTGATTAAATATTACGATGTTTGAATCTACAAATGAACAATGAATTATTGCCCATGGAATGATAACTGGTTGTGCGAGACTTGGTACCTGCACAACTCCTTTTAAGGTTAGCCCTTGGGATGAATGTATCAGTTCTTGTATTCCATCATGCACTACTCTTCAATGCTTGTAGAAGGCTTTAGTTGCTATCTGTGCATTGCCTGTGCAAATCTTGTGAAATGGTCTGTCGTGACCAGGATTTATTGTTGACCTATGAATGGCTCAAATGTAAGGTAGTTCATATTCGTTATCCGCAGTGGTGTAATTGTTTAAATACTGAATAGCAGGACTATCTCGTTAGGAAGGGTCTTTCTTGGAATGCGTCTACACAGTGTCATATCCATCATTCAATTTCCTTTGACCATGCTCAAATAACCTCTTAATGGTGGTTTTGTTTATAAAGATACTTGTATAAAACTAGATATGACGCGTCAGAATTTCTCAAGTTTATAATAAAATAATAAGTATATTATCGAAAATCAGTTCTGCACAAACGCAATGATAAACAACAATATGCAATTTCCCAACATGAAAAACAGAGAGCAAGTCATGTAGAATATTTCTCAACAGTGACCAATTTCGTTTGACAAGGTGTCCCTTGTCGCTGCGTAGTGCTTGAACGGTTGTGAACACGTGATGCTGGAAGTACTAGCTGTTGTCTAATTTCATCGTTGATAATGATGCCACATATTTGGCAGAAGTGAGAACGTAGGTCAAGGAATTATTGTCGGTCATCACTGTAAAATGAGCAGGTCCATACCAATAATCCTTGAACTTGTATGTGATTGCCCACTTTAAAGCTAAGAACTCCATCGTATGTGTCGGTAATTACTCTCAGCCTTAGTAAGTCCTCTACTGGCCTACCATATGACGTGTTTTTCACCTTATTGTTCATGGTAAGTACCGCACCAAGTAGAAAACCTGACGCACTTATATAAAGTTCACATTGCAAACTGCTGTCAGGGTACCTCAGTACCGGAGCTGATGTCAGTAGATTCTTCAGTTTCTTGAATACCCGATCTTGTACTCCTCGATGCCATTCTTTCTGTTATTTCGTCTTCTTTAGACCTTTTTTAACTGATGAAATTGGCATTAAATTTGACAATGGTCTGCTTTTTTTTATAAATTTCTTGATAAAGCGTCGGTAGTATCCAGGTAGTCCACGAAAACGTCAAACATCTAAAGGCGATGAAGGTGTAAGCCATGCCATGACTTTCACTGTCTTCTCTATATCAGCTTTAACTCACTCCTCTAAAAAAATGTGTCCAAGGAACTTCACTCCTTGAAAAACTCCGTGGGTGCCGAATTCATGTTCGCTTTACCTATGCGGATCCTTTCAAGTTTCAGGTTGTGAAGATGTTCCTCGTTAGTCTTCCCAAAAATGATCACATCGTCGATAAACACACAGCATATTGTAAGGTGGTATTTAGCCAGGCAATCTTACCTGAGTCTATTGTAGGTGGCGAAAATGTTGGTGAGTCCAAATTGCGATATGATATTCTAATAGAAGCCGAGAGGTCCTACCTTGATGCAAGTCCTTTCCTTCGTGTGGTTCGCAGTGCTCTACCTGATGATACCTGGGCTTCATATCAACGACACTGAAAAGGGTACTTCCAGCAAAGCAATCAAACAGATCCACAATCATCGGTAAACTATAACTATCCTTTTATATACGATTGTTGAGTTTACGACAATCAACACATTGACGTAGGCTATTGTTCTTTCGGACGAAAAACGGCATTGAAACAAATGGGCTCTTATAAGGTCTGATAATCCTCGTATCTGAAAGTCTCTTACTTCCTCATATATATGCTGATGGAGGAATTCTTCTATAGCGTTGCTTTAAAGGCTTGTCGTCTGTCATACCGATACGATGATTCACTATATCTGTATGACCTACGCACTCATCAGTATTTGAGATGATGTCCATGTATGGAGCTTATAACTCTTTGATTTAGTTTCTCGTCTGTTGATGTGCTCTGTGTTATCTTTTTTCACTATGATGCCAGCCATTTCTTCTTCAGATTATAAACTTGGTGAAGGTTCTAGTTGGACTGGTTGTAATTCACATACTATGACCTTCTGTGGTAAACTCAGTGTTCTTGTGCTCAAGTTCTCTATGGTTACAGAGACTGGTTCATCCTGTTGGTGTTGATATGTGATTATTCAACAC